TGCCAATGAGGTAATGTGATGTGAAAGAAGCTAGTATATGAGAGGAATCTCTTAATTTTCTCTCCTGACGTTTGTAGCCTTTTAATAATTTCGTCCGTGAGAGCCATCAAGAAACAAATTGATGAACTAAAAAAGTGCGGACTAACTGTGGGATTTGTAGGATATTTCGTATTCTTGAGCCACCACTATCTCTATTCATCGCAATGAATATAATCCCCAATATGCAGCAGTAGTAGAAGATCATCGTCGTCATCGTCATCATCATCATCTATATCATCATCTACATCGTCATCTATATCATCATCTATATCATCTATATAATCATGATCATCTATATCATCATCTATGTCATCATCTATATCATCTATATCATCATGATCATCTATATCATCATGATCATCTATATCATCATCATCAATATATCATCATCATTTATGTCACCTATGTCATCATCATCTATATCATGGCCAACTATCATCATCAACCGTATCATCATCTATATCATCACGATCTATATCAACATGATCTATATCAACATGATCTATATCATCATGATCTATATCATCATGATCTATATCATCATGATCTATATCATCATGATCTATATCATCATCATTATCATCTATATCATCAGTATCTAATCATCATCATCATCTATATCATATATCATCATCTATATCAACATAACTATACCATCGTCTATATCATCATTATCACCATCATCTATATAATTATCAACAAGAACAATTACACCAACAACATCAACATCAACATCAACATCAACATCAACATCAACATCAACATCAACATCAACATCAACAAAACAAAAATAAAAGCGCAAACGACACCATACCAGACAACCTTTACTATAACTCAACGTATTTCCCAATCAAACTATCTTCATATCAATTATTTCTATGCAGATATTCTCTGGTGAAAACCCAAGCAACAACCGACCGGATGTTGACGATGTCGTAGTCATTATTACGGACGGTGAACCTCGAGGAAGAAGCAACACTCTACAACTGACAAAAGAGTACGCTAATGATCTCAAAGAAAAGGGAATTCTCATTGTCGGCGCCGCCGTTGGCCCTGACAGGCGAAAATTTAAACACATCTTAGAGGAATTGGCTACATCGTCAAAATATGTTCTCGACGCTGATTTTAATCAGATGGATGACATCTTAGCAAAATTGGTCGCAAGTTCGTGTATAAAACCAAGTACGAAAACATGCTTTAGATTTGTGTAAGATTCGAAAATTTGACCTGACAGCACTTTACTTTTCTATTTTATGGACTGCAAGTAGAGTATAAATAATGTTATGACTTGTACATACTACAGACACTAAGTTTCAAATGTTTCGATAGATGTTTTAATTGAAATTATTCTCTAATAATTCTTCCAGTTTTAAATTGGTTGGACTTAATATGGGATGTCAGTCATGTTGTCCATTCCTTCAATCATATCTGTTTATGTTTTTCCATTGTAATATGACTGAAAATCTCTTGTGGTCACCACGCTTGACTTTCAAGCTGGGAGACCTGGGTTCATCCTTGGTTGGACCTCTACTCAAGGTCTTAAAATAATTGAGAAAAAAGTGCTACCTTTACATTGACATTAGTAAATGGTTAGACTTTCGCGTCTTCTCGGATAATGACTTGGCTCTCTCTATATCCGATATTAATCTTTTCTTGAGCGACTAGTCCTAGATCCCTTCCTGAATGTAGGAGAGGAATTATAAGGCACACAAGTTGGCCTCATTATAGTAAGTGCTACCTACTCAAGGTCTCAATAATTGAAGAGAATGTAAATGGTTAGACTTTCGCGTCTTCTCGGATAATGACTTGGCACTCTCTATATCCGATATTAACCTTGATTACTATGATATTAACCTTGGTTACTATGTAACCTCATTAAAATCGTAGGTACCTTGCGTGAGAAACTAAAAAAGCCGTTAAAAAATTTCCATCAATTCCTCTAAGTTTAATTTATGTTGTTCTTATACTCAAGGTAAATGCTCGTGCCACGAGATGACGTCATCCCCAATCTACGTCAAGCCGGGCGATACGACAGCAGTAGTGGAATGGCCTATCCCACAATTTACCTGCAAGGCTGGTCGCAAAGCAACACTGAAGAAGACGGAAGTCACACCACAGATTACGTCACCTCATGCCTTCGCTATTGGTGAACATATCATTAATTATACATTCAAACTGAAAGGTGGCGTCTCCGTAACCTGTCCAGTTACGATCACGGTGAAAGGTGGGTTGGAAGTAAACTAAGTCTACGTCCTCAAATTCGTCCGGTTCTATATGTTCACACGGAACTGGATTAATTACGAGACGAAAGTGTTCGCACGAAACCGGATGAATACATGATTCGAGCTATAGACTAAATTTTGATCCAGGCAAGAAAAACAAAATCCAACACCACAGTTATAGAAAGACCATGTTAAAATTAGTAAAATTGCAAAGTTTGGTTGCGAAATGTTGTAAAATGAGGAAAATATAGCCCTGTGAAATTTTCAAATTTTGTATTAATTTGTATTACGCACGGGAAAATGCACCACTTTCGGCCCAAATGTGGTGCATTTTCCCGCGCGTAATACAAATTAATGACAAAATTTACAAATTTCGCGGGGCTATATTTTCCGCAGTTTTACAGTACATTTTGCGACCAAACTTTGCAATTTTACTAATTTTAACATGGTCTTTCTAGCTGTGGTGATCTGTTTTTCTTGCCTAGAGTGTATAGTGTGTTGCTGGAATAATCCATTGTAGTCTCAATCCCAACCCTCTATACCGCGCAAAATGGTCTTGAAAAAGACGGCCGGTTCCGCTATTCATATGGCGCCGTCTTAAAAAATTTACTGTTGACAAGTTGTTGGAACAGCATTGCCACAAGTCTGCTGCAGGTTAATTTGTTACAACTTAAAACTTGTGCGTTTTTACGTGTATATACCATTGAAAAATTGAAATATATATTTTAGGTGAGCTATGTCGCGGCGTGGTGTTTAACTCTGGAGATCATGTTTGTTGCTGTGGTACCATTCATCCGCGCAAGCCTGGGCACGAGTGTTGCGGGTCAGATTATTTCAACACTTCCAACCAGAAATGTTGTGCAAATGCGAACCTCGTCTCGAGTCAAGATTCTTGTCCAACTCCTTAACTGAAATACTGTCTTGAAAATATTATATACTGCAGTACAGTGACACTATGGTAACCGGTGGCTACATAAGCTTAGAATTCGAAAACGTATATATATATATATATATATAACATTATTAATGGAGAATTAATTTACCTGGCAGGATCTTAATGTAATGAGATAATATGGTTTGAATATATATCATGGTGTGGCGAATTTGTGCTTGAAAGTTGATCATTTTTTTGTATAAAGTGTTTCCAAGGATAGGTGGCCTGGTGTGCAGCGTCCAGCCAATTCCCAAGGATTCCGGCAAAGAATAAAGCCCAGGTGAGGTCACACTACACAACGACAACGATAACGATACGATAACTTGTATATATGCGCGCTGATTGGTCAAAAATTTATCGTTATCGTCCGACTGAATTGAAAAATCGCTCGGATGAGTGATCTTAAAATCGTTATCGTTATCGTCAAACGATAATTTTATCATTTTCGTTGTAGTGTGAAGAAATTTTTTCACAACCAATAGGAATGTTCAAAATGTCCTATTGTTAAAGTCATGGAGACATGGATGTGCACTTGGACAAAACCGTTGCTATTGGCTGTTTGAGCAAAAATACAATACGCACGTGACGATGAAAGACCACATTTTTGCATAAACCTGGACAAAAACATAGATAGTGAGGTTTATTGTAATGCTAATGAGTTTCCAAACCATCTCCTCTATTAACTATGATGCCACTCAAATCACATTCTCAGTCGTTGTTGATCTGGTTGATAACATAGAGCTTTTTCAACCTCGGGGATGAATTCAGCACTGTTGACCGGGTCTTAAATCGAATGCGTATTGTTACATGGCAAAACAGTTTCAGCCCATGCAGGGCTGAGTTCAACCCAGGGCTGAAATTTCAGCCCGGTTTGAGCTACTCAAATTGAAATGAACCGATTACATGGCAAAACTTTCAACCGCGGGTATAATTTTGACCCAGGGCTGAAATAGTTTAACTCAGGTAGCCCAAAGAGGGCTGAAATTTCTGCTCTGGGTTGAACTCAGCCCTGGGCTGAAACTTTTGCCCTGTAATCGCGCATTCGATTCAAGGGTTTTACTAATAAGACAGGGCTGAAATTTCAGCCCTTAAGGCATATATAAACAGGAGAAAAGAAATATTTACCTCTAAGGCTTGCAAAGGTGAGGTTTGGTACTCGGCAAACTTGCTGTATATATAGAACTCGTGTCAACCATAAAACCTCGTCCTAACCACCTGAAACTGTCAGTAGATCCACACGATTGATAACACATTACACGACAAGTTTTCCTTTACAAGATCACCATCGTTTCAAGGAGTTTGCAAATGGCCGTCCCATACATATTTGTAAAATTTCTACTAGAGACTTGACGACGCGTCTCAATTCAGCTCAAGTCTCGAGAATGAACGCTAAGTATACTTAAGATTACTGTAATAAATGCTTGAAGCTTTTTAAAATGACGTGAAAACAGCCAAGTTCAGGAGGAACGATGTGGTATTCGCTAGCTGACTTTATGTAACACATCTTACGTCGCAACAAAGAATAAAATATGCCGATCTTTACTCTAAAAGCTTTCACGTTGCTCAGTGCAAAGACGTCGGGTAATGACAACGCTGTTGATGATACCCCTGGGACCACAAATTATTTTTTGTCTTGCACGAAGAATGTCTTTGTTTTGAAGGCGCGTCGTTGACTTGCCGCATCGTAGATCTTAAACTCTCAAATTGTCGTAATGAATATTGCGAGACGCGACGGTGCAGCTAGCAAAATTACGTGTACTAGCAAGGTCGTACGAAGGGCCAACTGCTTCAGAGAAAATTTAACTTACGAATTTTATAATGTTATAATAAGTCTTAAGGCAAATGGCGCTTACAATCTTGTCAATCAGAATGCATGATTTTGTATGGGACAGCCCGATAAGCATGCATCGCCTGATATTTCTTTGAATGCATCGGCATGTGCAGCATATAACTATATGTACGGAATAGATCGTCATCGCCTTCTCGACTGTGAAGGCTAGTTTCAACTCGGGAAAATTATCCGTGGATTGGAACGGACAAGAAAATTTTTCTTTGTGTTAAAGTCATCATAGTTCCAACCCATTCTTGTCCGTTCCAATCCACGGATAATTTTCCTGAGTGGAAACTAGCCTTTATATCCCTATTTACTCTATTTTTGCCAGACAGATCTGCTTGTCATTCAGCTTGGAAATATTGGACCGATTACCCGACAATTAATTATATCTACCTCACGAAGAGCTTTTGCTGCCGAACTCAGTTGCAATGCAATTTCTGATACAGACCGATGTTATCTAACAAGCCGCATGTGATGTTATCTAAAACTCGATGCATGTGAGGCTGTGAGCATGAAAATAATATAACTGTCGACGCTCCGCAGAGTAAACTGCAGGCCATATATTCACAATTTCACTGTGTCTATACTTTTAAATAATATATCGCTCTATGTCAGACGTTTCAAGTTGCAGCAAAACTTCCCTCCCGTCAACATGACCTTTAATTAAACTGCAGTATATGTAAAACTCAAGTCACAGGACAAACTTTATTTTACTTGGGCACACATTTCAAAATATTTTACATTTTTTAAAACGACGCGTTTAGAATGCCAGTCGACTTGTAAGCAAGTCTGAGTAAGATATTCCAGCCACGTTTGAGAAAATTTACATAAGCTGTCAGCGTGTCTATTAGTCTTGATAACTTTAATACTAGTTTAATACAGGTTTAGCATCGGAAGCACGCGTGGGCCGCAGGGTCCTTAACCCCGCGAACCACAACCTATATCACGTTTTGTAAATAAACATATAGGAAATACCGGTTCACTGGAAAACTACTCACATCTGAGGTCGGCGTAGGTCGGGAGGCCACGGGTCTCATTGAGCAACACTTAATTCTCGTCCTACTGACATATCAGCTGGATAGTTTAGGGCGGTTAATAGTTCGTTGTACTGCCCAGAGATGCATGTACATAGTGTTCTGTTCCGCCTAAAAGATATCATACGAATTCCGCTACAAATTCCGACATTAAGGCAGCTTCGACCGATCGCGAAACATGCTTTACAAACAGGTAAAGTGTAGTAAATTTACTTTTAAATTTTTAATGTGAATATTGGGAAATTACAGTGCAAAGGCCGTTCACGGCTGGCGCTTTGCCGCGATAGTTCACGTTACATTTATTCCGATTTAATTTATCGCGCATAGACACAGGTATATATTTATAGTGTGAAATATATATATTGGGAATCAGTTATGTTATAAGCATATTTGCTGTCTGTATAGTGTCCGAGAAATTCACTACTCTAGCTTTTTATTATTATATATTAACGTAAATTCGGCTTTCCTATATTTCAGATGTACAATGGGTTTATTCAATCACATTGAATGGCCATGAATGAGCGCGTAAACTCAACTGTTATTGCTTATTGGCTGTTCGCTACTATTAACTTAAAATGTAATCCTTATATAGCCTTTCGTAAAGCTTTCGTGAGAGTGTGAGATGCCTAAAAACAGAAAAAATTATTTTCCGGCTTTGGCGTTTCGAGAAAACGCTACAACAGGAAATTCATACATAACGGCAGATTATATAAGGAAGCCCGCGTTCGAGATAACATTTTTGCGCTTTGATAAATCTGGCACTGGAAACGTTGGCATACTGATGACTTGTTACACTATGCAAAGAAATTTTAAGTTCCGAATGATTTGTAAGAAATATTGAACACAAAGTCCGCTCCTCAAACATTTCTTAAAAAAATTAGAATTTACCTATTCCCTTTGTGATCGCAGAAACTGATGCTATGAGCGAATTTTTATAATAACGGCTTCGTGAATCGCGTAATAACGCAATAGCGACACATATTTTTTCGACTGTAGCTGCGTGTGTTGGCGAGAAGCGACTTCAAAAAATTTAATTATAGCTCGATACGCGGTCTTATATAGTTATCATTGAAAACAACGCGGAATCTAGAACATTATACTGCTTTGAATCTTTGACAAAATTAGTAGGCTACAACTATTTTAAGACTTTAAATATTTTTAAGAGAGCGTTCCGGATATACTTAACATTTTTGAAGTAACTTCTCGCTAGAACACGAATTTAGTTTAAAATATATAACTATGTTCCATATTATTTCTCATGTAGAGTGTATGTATAAAATATGCATGGTATAGACTATAGAAAAGTTTTGGTTTCCGGTATAAAGAAATACATTAAACGCCACCAAGCTTCTTAGAAATCACTGTAACATAAATTTTTACTGACTCAACAATAGGGAGTTTACGATCAGACGAACTCAGCGACGTGGACACGTGGTCAATTTTAGCTCAAGAATGAGCGCTAAGTACTTTGATTACCGTAATAAATGCTTGAAGCTTTTTAAAATAACGTTAATGAAACAGCTAAGTTCATGAGAAACTAGCTATGTGCTGTTTTCCATAAGGCTGACTTTATGTGCATGAAACATCTAACGTCGGAATAAGCTTTCACGTTGCTGCAAAGACGTGATAATGTTTAGCATAATTAACGTTGTATTCAGATTGACAACGTTGTTGAGATCCTGAGGACAACGTACTCCTGCAGGGACTACAAATTTTCATACTTTTTCAAAGTAGTTCATACTTCTTGCAAGATGAAGAATTCTTTGTTTTGAAGACATGTCGTTGACTTGCCGCGTCGTAGATCTTAAAGTCTCTATAATGACTTTGTTAACGAGAAATTTTCAAAACTAAAACTTTTTGCAATAAAAGGCAGTAAAACAGGCATCTTTTCTGTACAAAAAACGGCATGGGTTCAGCCGTGGTGTCAATAAACTGCTGTCGCGCGTTCTTGTCGGAGGAACTGCGTGAAAATATTGCATGCATGTGGTTTATTAAACTTTCAGATAGTTTAGACAAAAACCTAGGATATAGACTCGCATTATCATTTACGAGATGATTTATGTACATAAAAAATATAGGCTCTTTTTGTAATTGGCTAAAATTTATAACAGGCAGGAACCGTAATTTGACTGAAGAGAGGCATGAGCAGCTGTGGATTTTGTAAACAAGGAGTATATTGAGACAAAACACATGCAGCATTGTCCTCTAGACATTGCTAAGCAAAGTGCTTTTGGCCAGCTGTAAAGGCCTATTTGACTCGTGGGTCGATTCCTCTGGGTCGATTCAGGCGACAGAGGGTCATTTGGAAGAGCGAGGTTTCACGATTGGCTCATGGGAATTTGTCTGCGTTCAGAAAGACTAAAACCATTATAAAATAAAAAACTGCGCAATTATTTTACCATTAGTTATTACGTTGTGGTCAAATTGAAATATACAACACTTAGCAATGTTATGAATGTGGGAGCCAGTTTTTTCAAAATAATAATTCCGGTTTGTCGTGTTAAAATACATATTTGGCAATAATGAGATAATTTGCATTGCGTAAATGGTAGGACGTCAATTACTGCAAATAAGGAAGCTAAACCGAAGCTTTATTAAGGAAAGTGCGTCACTACAAGTGTAAATACTGTGTTTGACAGTATTCCTCAATGCAGTATATTTTATGATTTTATAAAAAATATTGAATAAGGTTGATGTTGTCCGGTTTACTTAATCTTCTCAAATGGCATCTGCGGGAAACAAATTGTTTACGTTGCCACCAGTAAAATTGCTTGGATTCTAAATACACACGAATTCGTAGGCTTAGAGACAGTGTAAATATTTTGAAATATCTTTAAATGATGAGGGTTGAAGTAAAACCCCGGAAAGGCTTAGGTTGGAACGCGGATGAGGATGGCGGACCCCCGGATAGTTTACGTTTTCATAAAACGTCATACCACAGTCATGTTAAAGACCTTGTCAAGTCCGTAATGCAAACAAATCCTTTGTTTGTTTGTTTGTTTATATTTTGAACTGCTATATTTGTAAAATAAGACATACTAACTGAATATCTAACACTTTTCTGGTTCGCAATTGTAAACGAATATAAACTAGAGTACGCTTCAATGGACCATTTGCATTATAGACTAAATTTTGATCTAGACAAAAATTTCACCACAGCTTGAAAGAGCATCACAAAATTAGTAATATTCCAAAGTTTCGTTGCAAAATGTTGTAAAATGCGGATAATATAGCCATGCGAACTTTGCCGTTTTTCAGTCATTTTGTATTACGCACGGCAAGTTGACAGCCCAATCGGGTGTTGGGGCATCAATTTCCGGTTTGTAATACAAAATGACTGAAAATTGCAAACTTCGCAAGGCTATATTATCCGCATTTTACAACATTTCGCAACGAAACTTTGGAATATTACTAATTTTGTGATGCTCTTTCAAGCTGTGCTGAAATTTTGTCTAGATCAAAATTTAGTCTATAATGCAAATGGTCCATTCAAAAAAGTTCGAAAGATGCAAAATTTGGGCAATGTTTATATCTGTGGGTTCCCCTTTGTTACGAGCAAAACTGATGCACAGAACGGACTTGACATGGTCTTTAAGCGGATTTCGAGTGAAATTTTTATACATTTACTATATCTAACCAGGAACAGCTGCAAAAAATGCAACTATAGGCCATCTGGCAGGAATTGAACCTGTGACCCTGCGATTCCAGTGCAGTGCTCTAACCAACTGAGCTACAGAGGCCAGTTGTCGAGCTCTAACAACAACTTCATGTATAAATACTAAGGTGATACCAA